CAATAAATGTGTACTGTATTCTTCTTCATGGAAAAATAAGACATCCCCTGAAAATAAGACCTAGTGCATCTTTGGGAGCAAAAATTAATATAAGACATTGTCTTATTTTCGGGGAAACAGGGTAGCAGCGAATATTTTAGCAGCTGATTGCCACATCATTAGTGTCCTACTGACTTGTTTGGTATGCAAAACAGGAAATATTTCGCTTTCGGAGAACAAGAAAAATAGGTTTATTTGCATCATGCTTATTAATTTGTGCAGTTATTCAGTGCCTGGTAAGTTAATGTTCAAGAAAAAAATATTAATTTTTGCCGGGACCGGTTTGGCTCAATGGATAGAGCGTCGGCTTGGGGACTGAAGGGACCCGGGTTCGATTCCAGTCAAGGGCATGTACCTTAGTTGCGGGTATATCCCCAGTAGTGGGTGTGCAAGAGGCAGCTGATCGATGACTCTCTCTCATCGATGTTTCTAACTCTCTATCTCTCTCCCTTCCTCTCTGTATAAAATCAATAAAATATATATTTTAAAAAATATATTAATTTTTATTAAAATATTTTATTATTTTATGTTAACGATTACTCATTTATTTCAGCCCTTTGTATTCTTCATGTCTCTATTGAAATAAATTTACATTTCTATGAAAATTGAAGCTTTTATTTATTTTTTTACGGCCCACATAAACTTAAACCTTGTTTATTTGGCCTGTGTTAGCCTTTGTGTTTGACATGCTTGATCTATCTCCTTTAGACTGTGAGCTCCAGGTACTTAGAAAGCAGTTGTTCATGATTGAGTGAGGTGGGCTTGAAAGTGTCAAGAAATTAGTGGTATGTGAAATTCATTCCTCAATATTGATTGCATATCCTAATATCAGCAAAGCACTGTTGTAGGATTAGGTGAGGGGCATGCAATAGTGAATAAACTGATTTCCTGCTGTTCTCTTAAAGCTTACATTCTAATAAATAAGAAAGTTGATTACTAAAATAATTTCAGGTCATAAGAATTATGAAAAAATGAATGCTAAGGAATAGAATGGGATGGGGTGTCTAAAAGGGCTTATTTAAGAGTGTAAAAGACCTCTTTTATATTTTTATTGATTTCAGAGAGGGAGAGACAGAAGCATCAAAGATAAAACAGAATCATCAACTAGTTGCCTTCTGCACGCCCTACATTGGGAATCCAGCCTGCAACCTGGGCTTGTGCCCTAGCAGGGAATCAAACCACAATCTCCTGGTTCATAGGTTAAAGCTCATGCACTGAGCCATACTGGCTGGGTGTAAAAGACCTCTTTGGATACATGACTTTACAGTGGGGACGAGAATGATGACGCTATCACATAAGATTTGGGGGAAGAGCATCCGTACCAAGGAGAACAACAACTGCTTAGGAAGAAAATTTGAGGGAGAGGTTAGTTGGTGGAAGAGGCTGGCAAGGGTCAGCTCACAAACAGCCAGTGTCAGGGGTTTGTATTTTATGTAGTGGAATGGGAAAGAATCAAGTTTATGTATTAGAACAACAGGTGATTGTTTTTAAATAGATTAGCTACTGTCTGGGGAATTGTAGATAGACATGCTACTTGATAGCTGATACAAGGGGGAAGGAATTTGATGACATACAAAAGCAGGCGGGGTAGGAATTTCTTCTGTACTTAGAACTAGGTTAGAATTATACTGTGCAGAGGTGACAAAAGCAGAAAGGTCAAGGGGACACCTGGAGCCAACGTGCCTGGTGTGACCATGCTTGATGAAACGAATACTGTTGAGAAGTCAGGTCCAATCTGAAGTAGCATTCTGCAACAGCTGTGTTTAGAACTTTGTCTATAGGAAACAATTTAAACTTTACATTCTTAAATGTTTTCTTTTTATATATGTATGCTTTTATTGATTTTAGAGAGAGAGGAAGGGAGAGGGAAAGATAGAAACATCCAGGATGAGAGTCATTGATCAACTGCCTCCTGCACGCCCCCTCCTGGGGTCATTGCTCAACCACTGAACACACTGGCAATACTTAAATGTTTCCTAATAGGAATTGTTTGGATGGCAGGAGTAAAAATAGAACTGTCTTATGTTTGTCTAATACATATACCATACAAAATGCTGCGAGGTAAGGACCAGCTTGCAGACAAGAGGTTAAATGACTTGCCAAGTTACCTTAATAGAGGAATGACTTGAGCAAGTCCATGTTTTTTCATCCCGGAAACAGACCAAGTTCAAATGTTTACAAATATTGCCACCCTGTGACTTCCAGCCACACAAATAGCTCCTCTATGAGATACAAGGGAATCAAGGCCCACACAATGAATGCTCTGCCCCTTCCAATTTTCCCAGTGGTTTAAGTGATGGTTTTCCTTATCAACCCCCACATACCTTCTATCTCTACAGCTCAACTAAGATCTCAATATGCCTGTGCTTTTAACACAATTCTTAACAATCTGGATTAAAACACACATACACACACACACACACACACACACACACACACAACCACCCTCAATCTTCACAATTATTTTTTACAGCCAAAAGTGAATTAATAGCTCTTAGGACAACAAATACTATTTTAAAAATTAGCTTGTTTTGGAAACTTTCCTGAAAGCTAACTATAAATTTTTAAAAATATATTTGATTTTGTACAGAGAGGGAGATAGTAACATCGATGAGTCATCAATCAGCTGCCTCTTGCACACCCCCTACTGGGGATTACCAAGGTACATGCCCTTGACTGGAATCGAACCCGGAACCCTTCAGTCCCCAAGCCGACGCTCTATCCATTGAGCCAAACCGGTTTTGGCAAATTTTTAAATGAGACTTTTGATGCAGGTTGTGGGCATTAATAATGGGGTTAATTTCTGATGGTAACAGTGACATTACTATAAAGCAAAACTTAGAATTTGCAACTATAAGTCAAAACTTAGAATTTCAATAAGGAGGTATATTTTTATGATCATTTTTTTTTTTAAATGGAAAACTGGTTAGGAATTTCACTAGTCTTCCTGAAGGATTAAGATACTATTTTAGCACTAGCTCGTATGTTCAGTGGTTAGAGCATAGGGCTGTGGCCTGAAGTTGCCATGGGTTCCATTCCAGTTAAGGGCATGTACCTCAGTTGCAGGCTCAATCCTCAGCCCCAATCAGAGTATGAGCAGGAAACAACCAATCTATGTGTCTCTCTCACATCCATGTTTCTCTCTCTCTTCCGCTTCCTTCCATTTTCTCTAAAAATAAGAAAAATATCCTTGGGTGAGGATTAACAAACAAAAAAGCTACCAATTGCAAAGGACAAAGGTAACATTTTATAACATTAAAGGAATTGTATTAAGAATTAGAATCATGCCCTGGCCAGGTAGCTCAGTTGGCTAATGTCACCCCAATATGCTAAGGTTGTGGGTTTGATTCCCCAGAGTACATACAAGAAGCAACCAATGAATGCATAAATAGGTAGAACAACAAACTGATGTTTATCTCTCCCCTCTCTAATATTAATAATAAAAAAAGGGAAAGAAAAAAATTGAAGCCATTAAAACAAATACTAAACAACAGCTTATATGCATTAGGTTTACAGCTGTAGTAGGAAACAAAGGTATAAGAACATATAGATACAATCGGGGAATATATATACAAGGCTGTCAAGGTGGACCAATAAACCGTTTTCAAACCTAAATTTGATGCAGACTTATATAAGTTTACAATAAAGGGGACAAAAAAAATGTACGTTCTGTGACACCATAGGGTTATAATGAGAGAACACAGAATATGGAAAATTCCTCAAGACAAATGATCCAATTCTTTAACCACCAGGGGGCAGACACTCAACACAGGAGCTGCCCCCTGGTGGTCAGCACACTTCATGGGGAGCCCTACTCAGCCAGAATCTGGCTCAAGGCTGGAGAGCCGTGGCAGTGGCAGGAGCCTCTCCCACCTCCACAGCAAAGGTAAGGATGTCTGCCTAGGGCTCCCAAACTGCAAGGGCAGAGACTGGGTTGAGAGAACCCCACCCCAGTGCACAAATCTCATGCACGGGGCCTCTAGTGTAACTATAAAATACAGCAATATTTTATTACAGCCTTTTAAAATCTCTTAAATTCGCTTCCAAAGTATTGGGAAAATAATTCTCAATGTAATTTGAAAAATGTTCATTTGGATACACAATGGCATTTTCAAAACTTCATTTTCCTAGTGTCCAGATTTACTTTATCAGCCAACCAGGTTCTGAGGGCCTCACCTCATTATTGCATTATCCTAGCCCAGATAAAAATCACTAAATATATAAATTAAAAAAAAAAAAAACTTAGCAGCTCAATAGTTGGGTCTGATTCACTGTCATGTTAAAAGCTTGGTTTTGCTCCTGAGGACAGTTCATTTTAGACAGTCCTTAAAACTGACTTATCATGTAATGTTACACTCCCATTTTTTCCCATATATACAGAGAAGACAAAGAATTGTATAATCTCAAACTAGCTAATAGGTTTGCCAGAAAATCAGTACAGCCATTTTATTATTAAAATTTTGCTCATTTAAACAATTTATTTAATAAAATATTTGAGGCAATTTAGAAAAACAAGATTTGTATTTTATTTCCTTGTAAAAATCTTTTACACATGCAGACAAACCAGTGTTAAGAAAGTATTCACCATCATTTAAACAAATAACCACTTAAATAGAACAGTGTCTGCAATTTTATCTGTATAAAAATAAGGTACATTTTTACAGAATTCTCACTCCAGTTCTTATAGCAATAAACAATACACAACTATAAGTACAATTGAACCTGACCATGGTTTTCAATTAGATACTGCTAGCGCATTTTAATGTGCAAAAAAAAAAAAAAAAAATTTAAAAAAATAACAGTTCTTTTCAAGAGAAAATGTCCTCAGTGTTGCTAGAGACCTAGAAGGTTTTAAGAAATCAAATCCTGATCAGTTTGCTTTTAATGTTTTGATTGTGAGTCCATACATCACACTGTAGATAGGCAAAACCAGGAATTGATGCAGGCTCAACCGAAGAAAGTCAGCGCCTGTGCCTGCCATGTCCTGAGCGGCTGCCACCATGATGCTTGCTTTTGTGGGACCTCTCAAAGGAGCGAGATCTTTCACGCCTGTCCCTATGATGTCCCCTTTCATGCCTGTGTTTCTTGGCAGCATCTGAGTGATCCCGAGACTTGCTTTGAGATCGAGAACGAGACTTTTTCCTTTTATGACCATGTCTGTTCGAACTTTTTAAATCATCTCTGGTATGTTTGGCCTTAAGATGAGGAGAACCATGATTATGATGTCTTCTTGGGCTTTCACTGTGACTGCGTGACCTGCTTCTTGACCTCGAGCTGTATGTTCCAGATCGACTCCGCCTATTATTGTAACTTAGATAATAAAAAGTTGAAATTTAGATTCAATTTCTGCTGAAAACAAATTATCTTGATGGTGTTCATAACTGGTTCACAACAAAACTATCAGGCCTGTATTAATAGACAACTGGCCAGACCAAGACTTTTATTATATTTCTCCCCCTCACTACCTTCCCTCAAGCCTATATTAGACAAATCTTAAACAAATGTAAATAATGTCTATATGCTAAGTAGAGTAATTAGCAAGTTTTAGATAATATTCTAGATAGCCATGTTTTTTATTAAGTATTTTCATACATGAAAAAGAACCACAATCTAATTATAAAGCTAATTAGAAGATTCTTTGGCTACAGTTGATTTATTGGCTAATAAATGATTAATGAAATAGTCTTTTCTAACTGAAATCAGAAAGAAAATTTTTTCACACCTAATTTGTTCAATTTTTTTAAAAGAGTAACTTTTTAAACATTCCAAATAAGTTTTTCTAAGAGACTATTTTACTTACTGTCTTCTTGGAGTATGTGATCTAGAATGTGATCGTGTTCTTGACCTTGATCGACTTGCACTTCTGCTATTTCTACTTCTCTTGCTGTCTTTTCTTACACTTCAAAAAACACAAAACAAAAACCCAAACAAATCAGTATATTAGTTATACTTAGTGTGTTAGAAGTTAATCACATATAAGATTCCTGGGGCCAGTTCTAACTCAAGTATACTCACCCATTATAAGGGCTTTTGGAAGCCTGCTGTCTGTCTTCAGGTTCTTTTTTGACCATCTTCACATTAACAGAGATTGGTGACTTCTCTTCAGCCTTTACTTCTCTTGGTGATGCTTAAACAAACATAATAAAGACATGTTAACTACTGGATTTAACAGAGGGTCAAAAGTTGTTTGAACATATAATTTAAGTATTACGCCTTCAAGTATGTCTTTAGTTGACTGTTAAAGAGAAAATAGTAATGGCTTCTTAATATCATCTTTTCCTTGCAAATGTTAAATGCTAGAACATTCTAATAATCCCACATTTTCAGTGCCCACCTCATTTCAATTCTGAACAAATCTTACATGGTTTAGAGGCTGGAGAAAATCCACCAAGGGTTGAAAGGGCTGGAGTTCCATCAGGATTCAATCCCTTTGCTTTTAATTTTGCTTCTTGTAAAGCCACCTTTCTTTTCTCTACTTCTTTTTCCAGCAATTCATAGTTTGGCTGTTGGAGGAAAATGAAGTTAGTATTGCTCCTTTGCAGTTTAGAGTGTTACCACTGAGAAAGTTATTAGCACAATCACTAGTAATCAGAATTACCTTTTTCCTGGTATAAAGCCTAAGAGTTTCTACACAGATATCCTGGATCTCCTCTTCAGTAGTACCAAAAAGGAGAAACCAATGAGGACGAGTTGGCAATGGAATCTAAACCAGGAAAAGAAGGAGGTTTAGATAAAATGTTTACTGTTTTTTATTAGGACCAATTTATCCCATAGACCAAAACAGGCTATCTAAACCTACCTGAAGAGCTCTAGCTGCAAGGTAGATGCAAGCACATGCTATAGTCTCTGGTTGAAATCGAACAAATACATTTGTTCGAAGACTGTCATTCATGTAATTCCTGAAAAAAATTTTAATCATAAGTTCTGGACATAAACCAGTTCTAAAGCTTACATAAAATTGGAGACTCAATCTACTTTATTCTTTTTTCTTCTCATTCTTCATATTCTAGCAAATAACAATTCTTAACTCAAAAATCAGAGAGATAAGAATTTAACACTAGAACAATTCTTCAGCTTCCCTATGATTAAATTCCTTTAAAATAATTTTATTATTCCAAATAGAACATACATGTAAAATTTTAAAACTATATTTTTATGAAAATCAATGCACTAAAAGTCAATTCTGAATAATTAGCTTCAGAAATGATAAACCACTCCAACAATACTTCAAGCCATTAATTATTGACCATCTCTCCTTTATCCACAATGAAAAGCAGTGTCAACCAAGTTCTTTAAAAAAATTCAAAGTACTGTGACAGGGGTAAAAAGGTAAGCACTCACCAAGTTATATTAAGAAAACTAAGTACTTCAGAAAATCTAGACAGGCAAGTGAAGAGCAATAAATATATAAAACAGCCTTGGTTATATACCTTTCTTGAGACTAAGTACAAATAAAAGCAATTAACTATTTCAGTTAATAAATTCTTGATTTCTTAAGTAGTGAACCCTCCCCCACAACATTCCTGAAGTATTGAAAAAATGTTTACAAACTGTTTAAAAGGTTAAACTACAAGGTTGTTTCTTAAAAATCCTTACTGTAACTGCTAAAATCTGTTTTACAAAACATATATTAAAAATGTCATGCATTTTATAAAAGCAGTGAGACTTTTCCATTATTAATATTTACTAAATCCAAAAGAAGCATGGCAGTAATAAGCCCAGAACATAAAAAATTAAGCCCTGTACACCTATTATTGTCTTTGAGACAGTAGTTATGTCTGGACTTAAAATCCTTGTTTTACTTTACCTTTAAATAAGCTAGTACTCCAAATCACATATCTGCATTTCAGAAGTCCAAGTTATAAAGTACTTTAATTTTGTTATTGTCTGCAATAGCCCAGCAACTAGAAATTCATCCAGAATGGAAATGGTGCCCACTTTAAGCTTAAGTTGTAGCTTCCTTTGGTAGAATTCATGCTATACATACTGAAAATTGAAATCTAGTCAAACTCCTAACAAAAAAAAAATCACTTAATTCATAATGGTTGTATAACAATCTATCAAAAATGAACTATTCATTTTGATAGTTACAGGTATACATTCAATACAAAGGCATGTTGAATAGTTACTTCTAGAAGCAAATATACAAATCCTTTTGACACCCCGACAGAACTAGAAGATGCTGCCAGATGGATATGGACCACTTCAGTGAATCTCGGATGAGAGCTTGCACTGGATTGGCTGGAGAGCAGGGCAGCCAATCAGGCCATCCTGAGGTCATGGGCTGAAGTGCAGAGGGCAGAGTTCTATGACTTACCATCATGGACTACCCTTTAATTAAAGAGTAGAAAAAAGAACAAAGTTAAATTGAGTTCTCCATTAAAAATAATTAGTCAAGCCAAGAAAACAGGAAGCAGAAATAAGCATTATTTACCTTTTGATTAAAAAACAAAAAGAACAAAAAGCACCAAAAGAAACTCATCTCATTATTTTGGAAAGGGAAAATGAAACTTACTTTATTTCTGCTTCTGTTTTCCTGACTAGGAAAAAAATGTAAAAAAAAAAAAACACAAAAAAACACAAAACAACTTACCAGGCAGTTTGAACCAGGGTTTGATTACGTTCACATTCTAAGACTTGTAAATACATAAAAATAATCTGAAGGACAAGGGGAAAAAAACTCAGTTTAGCACATTGTTGGTTCTTTCAGAGTACAGAGTTCAATGCATATAAGCAACTGAAAATGTTAGGTTCAAATTTTAATTCTTCTATAAACTACTTAAATAATACAGACCAATCTAAAATGTATCTAAATCAATGTGGATTGTTACACTACTAGATTCCATAAAAATTGTTTTAAAGTGTTTCAAGATTGTACAGGGGAAAAAATTGGGAGTTATTTCAATAAAAAACCATGGATACTAAGTGGTGGGCACTGAGTCCTATAGTTTGTCCTGCAAGTAAGATCATAGCATTTAATTTCCCAAGGTACAATTCTGCGTGTCCCAAACCCTAAACACTATGTTTTAAAAGTGATACAATAGGTATGATACATTGCAATACTCTGAGTGGGTATTATAGTAGGTAATCAAACACTGAATATTTTTCACATTACATATAAAAATAGCTTTACCTCAGTTCAGATGAGGTATTTTAGGACCTGTATTTCAATTTTAGAGATGTGAGATCTAAGAACAGAGATATCTGCCAAGGTCACACAGCTAATGGCAGAGACAAGTTTCTATTGCAGATAATTCTGCTTTTAGGATACCTATTCTAGTAACTATTTTGCTGTTACTTATGTCAGTCACATGCAAGCCAAGACTTGCTAGAGAAACCTTTGAATATTCAGAAACAGTAACAGTAAGCAGCCAACACAGCCTGAACATTTTACTATGCAACAGGTAGCATGCCAGACATTTTTGTGCATATATACACACCCACACTTATTCCTTGGAATGAGTCATTTCATACACTTCCTTTCTAGGTAGAAAAAACTGGGTTAACCATAAAGGCAAAAAGAACTTACCTATGCCTACACAATAGTAAAATTTTGAACCTGTCCTTTTTACTCCCATTTTTCTGATAAATTTCAAAATCGCATTTAAAAGCCAAGGTTAACTCTCAAATATAAACATATATTCATGTAAAATCAAAGTTTAAAAAAAAAACCCTAATACTTACGAATATAATTTCTGTACCCTGTAACTCACCTTATGAGGATGCTTGACATGAACACAAAATCCCAACTCCTTTAGCACCCTCCTCTCTGCTTTGATAACTTGATTTTTGGTGTTAATGTAGTTCTGATCAAGGATGAGGGGGCTTGGAGTCCTATAGTTTGTAAGAAATAAAATCAAAACTGTTTTGCACATCCAAAAAATTTTATTTGTGGCATCTCCGTTTTCCCTTCCAACCAACTATTGGCAACAGAAACCAGCTTTTTAAACTCCTGCAAACAAGTTAAGGCATTAATCTTGTGCTGTCCAAGTTATGATAATTAAATATATACTTTCTAGACTAAATTCCTATAGAAACTAACTCAACCCTGCAATGAAAATACTTCGCTCTACATCTCTTATATTTATCCTAGGTTCTTTCCTATGGATACTTTGGATATATATGCTGCTTCGCATCAGTGACAGCTTATCACAAATCCCATTAGTCTCCAGACTCGGCAATGACAAACGAATGTGCTCCTGAAAATATTTACTGTAAGACCTTATAAGATTATAGTGATTTTACTTATTTTATAAAATATCAACTTGGTTACTTTATGGCCAAAATTAAAATTAAGGGGAAAAATGTTGGGTAGCTAATCCAGATTTCTCCCAAAAATGGGCAACTTGTTTAAGCAAATTGTTCTAAGACTCTATTTCTGTTAAAGAGAATAATTTGGAAACTATAGATTTAGTTTAATTACCAAAATAGTTTATAAAATTAAATCAGACTAAAAATTAAGTGATAAATAAAAACCAGGCCTAAATTTGGTTGAGTTGTAGTTATTAGGCAATATATTTAGCAATGCAAGAGAAGGGAAGACCATAATGAGGTAACAAAGACAACACTCAAGGTCTATGTGCTGATTCAGTTTGATAGCTTCTGAAGTTATGATGCAGAGAAGACTATCGATCAGGAGTTTAATGCTTTAGAAACAGCACATTCAATTAAAAGACTATCTTATTTAAGTCTTGAAATGAAAAACCGGTTTCTTACTTTTATTTAAATCTTATGTTCAAAATTAGCTTCTTACTGAGAATTTTCTTTTTTTTGTCAAGACTTAGGACTTTTCATTTATAAGCCCATAAAATGTCCTAGTGTCCTTTGTTTATTTTTAGATTGAACCAACAAAAAAAATGTTTTTGTTAAGATATTATTAAAAATATTGATTATATGATATATACATATAAGTAGGATATTTAAATATTTTCCCCATACTCAATTATCAGCCAAAAGATTCAAGAGTGTCTGTCCTGGGCAGAACACATCATCTACTTTAAAAAGATAATAATAATAATTCTGAATATTATCCCAACTCACAACTCCTTTACCATGCACAGCAAATCCAGAAAAATGAAAGCTAACACATTAAAATCAAAAAACAATTTAAATACATCCTCTTGAAGATTAGATAACAATGTGAAATAAGCTGCATTAACTACCTCTGTAATGATGTTATAAGAGTAGAAATCACTTATTTTCTCACATTTCATTTAAAAAGATGAAAACTAGAATGCTTGCTAGGCTATTTCAATTTTTTTAAATTAAATTGTATAAAAACAAGACATAAGCTGGCAAGCTAACAAAATGGAAAATAGCTGTTAAGATTAACAATGCTGAAATTGGCCTTCACTCAGTTCAATTCCTATTACAAATATAAAAGATGTTAGGAATGAGGCCATCATCAATAATCCATTTTTATTAGGACAATAGGCTACAAATTAACTATTCTTTGGAGGGGGGGAAATCAAATTTACCTCAAGAGTAATAAAGGTATACATGATTATCTCAAAGAACTTAATGTTTATTATTTAAATTTAGAAGTTAAATCCACCTCAGACTAATGTCTCCCTCAACAGGCATTAGGAGAAAGGAGACATTCAGTGTTACAGGGGCAGCCAGAACTTTAACTTTTAACCCACTGCAATTGGGACAGCAAAACTGCATCATTAGGAACTTATAAAAGCAGTTTTGTCTCATTTCCCATTTCTTTTGAGTAAACTCATTTACACATCTTATTAAGCTTGCTTTAAAAGTTTCCTTCAAATTCTGTTAAAATTCATTTTTCTTATAATTAACCAGCTAAACAAACGTTTGTTCAAATTATGGCTATTCTCTGGTGGTAAGTCAGGCTTAATTATCAATTCTGCTTAAAACACCTGTTATTTTCCATCTACCACAATCTTTATTTCCATCTGCCACAATCTTTACTTTGCCTCTATTTTCCTGCTCAGTACATAGAAATCTGCAATAGTACTTCAAAGGATCATTCCAATAACATCAAATGATTAAGAAAACTAAATTCATTATCCACTATTTAATTCAACTACATATTCAACTTTTTGCTTAGGCTTACTAATACCTAGTTTTCAAAGTTAACTTTGTGGGTTTATAATCTAACACCTTCGTTTTTGTGCAGAATTGGCTTTACCTCACAAATCAAGTAAGGCTCAATAAATGTGTAATTTACAACATATTTTGTAGAAGAAAAACGTGTTCGGATCAATAAAAGGTTCAAGAATACTGTCTAAGCAAGTAATTTCTTTATATATTTTTTAATATATTTTATTGATTTTTTACAGAGAGTAAGGGAGAGAAAGAGCCAGAAACATCGATGAGAGAGAAACATCGACTAGCTGCCTCCTGAACACCCCCTGCCGGGATGTACCCGCAACCAATGTACATGCCCTTAACTGGAATCGAACCTGGGACCCTTCAGTCTGCGGACTGACGCTCTACCACTGAGCCAAACCAGTTTCGGCAGTAATCTCTTTATATTAACATAGTATCAATTAGTACTTTCTGTAGCAACAAGCACATTAAATTGAATTAAGGTTTGCTAGAATGTCTTCCTCTCCAATTATGTTAAATCTTTCTGAGAAAAGATCAAAGAGGTGGCATTTTAAAAAATCTCTTAAAAAATAAATCATCTATTAAGAGAGGGGGAAAAAATTATTGTCAACTAACAACCAAATCTAACTCTACCTTCCTGGCTTTAAAGTTTGTCATACTTTTCCAATTAATTTATATAAAAAGAACAACTTTCAAATTTTAGTCTTAATAGAAATTTTGGGCTTTGGTCATTGGAAGTTTATTTTCTATCCTCTTAGGACAGCTATTTTTCTGTTAGCATACACCTTGAAGAAATTAGGACAGGAGATGCAAACATGGTTAAGTTTCACTCATGTAGTATGAAAACTAGTTCTTCAAGGAACTATAATTTACAAAGAGGCAGACTCCTGCTCAATACACAGAAATCTGCAATACTACTTCAAAGGATCATTCTTTTTTTTAGCAGATCCTTTTAAAACAAAGTGAAGACCACCATAAAAGCCATAAAATAAAACTGTGGAGGCTGAACTTATGACCCAACTTTCATCCATAATCTATATACATGTTGAAATCATCACTCCATATGTACCAATGAGTGTGGCTGCAATGGTCTGAAGGTGTCTTCTTTTAGACAAATAAGCCTTATTTTTTTTTAAATTGTAAATTACATGTTTATAAGCAAATTATAATTGGAAACTATTAAATTCTGCCATTTATTTTGAGTTTAAAAGACAATTACTAAACTACCAAAAAAGTCAAAGGGGGAAAACAGTCAAATAATACAGAACGTGGCTTGGCACTAGTACTTTCTAAAAGTTTACCTGATAATTTTAACGTGTAGCTAGAACTGAAAAACAATGATCTAAGGTTACAAAAATGACTCCTCCTTTGTTATTTTCTAGTTCACACTACAATAAAGCTTTCATAAACTTCATTAAAATAACATTAAAATAAACTGACATTTTAACAACTAAAGTATAATACTGATACTTTCTAATGACATTAATCTATGAAAGAAAATATTAAGCTACAGTTATAATAACTTGGACAGCAAAGATTAAAGCTTATAACAAGAAACAGGAGTTTTTCTAAATGGTTCAGCAGTGGCCAACCTGTTAGTCCCCGATTCCAGTGACCTATTCTCAGAGCACTGGCTTCTCCTTGGGGATTTTCCATACTTCACTCACTGTTGCCATGACGACAGCTTCATCGCTATGTACCACTCCACATCACCCAGGCTTTGGTAAATGTAGCTGGTCGCTGTATAGTCGGTTGCAAGGGAAAAAAGAGTTGAAGTTAATAACATATACAAGTTACATGTCTGAGTAAACTTGTAATATGCATAGAAACTTTTACATCCTGCTTTAAAAAAAAAAAAATGCTTCCATGCAATTAACTTCTTTTAAATTTCATGCGATAGTCAGTTCTAAGATTGAGACAAAAATCAGTCTCTCCGTAATGACCCCCCCAAAAAAAACCAGTTAGACACAAAAATCAGGTGAAATGTTTTATATTCCAGGATTTTTATGGTTAAGAACTACTCTCTGAGATGGAGGAAGAATGCTCTAAGGCTCACAGAAAAATTTCAAAGTAGATAATCATTATTATTAAGAGTTGGCTCAATGGTCCAAAGAATAGAAAGCTATTTCCTTTAAGCCAGCATAGAATCCTTTCACTGAAGAGCCTTTTTACTAGTTACTGTGTTTTAATCACCCTGAAGAATCAGCCAGGTATCTAAATGTAAATTTTAGCTCAGACCATACTAAATACCAAATTGAAATCTTTCCAATTTCCAGGAATTCCTCACCAAGAAGCTAAAAGATATTTTTAAATGAAATAAAAAATTAGTCTATCCCTGAATATGGTTAGGGTGAATGAAGGATGGCAGAAAAAAATTTAAGGAAACTAAAAAAAATATTGTGAAAACTATCTGAAGAGCAATGTTTCAAACTTTTTAACTAATTGTTTTAAGGTTACTTTTCTATTTGCTTGTCTCTGAATAGTTCTATTATGCCAAGCTACAGATTCAGCTGATAAAGAAACACTCAGATAATCTGACTACTAAATTGGCACTAACCAACACCCAATCCCCTAAACAACTTAAAATCCTTTTATAACTTCCTTTCAAACTCCATACAAGTTTATCTAACATCACAATTTCTTAAAAAAGTGAAGAGACCTAATCTATTCCAGCTATCTCCTTCTGCAGCATGTACTAGAAGTTACCTTAAGTGCTGCAACTAAAATTTTTGGTACTGCCTCACGTGAACATATAAGTCCACAGAGTTATGATGTAGCCACAATGCCTATAAGGCACTCTTTTGGTCTCTATTTTCTTACAAGGGAAATTAAGTGGGCCTTATCTAAATATAACCCAATCAATCAAATTATTTTTCTAACCCACTCACTGGGACTTATCTGACCAAGACAAAATACCTGTTTAATCCCTTTGACTTCAAACTTTATCATCCTGCAGTCCTTTCAGATCCGGTATATCGTAGTTCAAGGTTGAAGTACTCTAACAAAAGCCAACCTCAATTGATCAAGTGTTAACTGGGACTTCCAAGCAGAGAAACAATCTACACAAAACTGTGCCACGCTGTTAACTTGAACTGCAGTTTAAACTTCCAGAGAGGGGTGGGGAGAAGCAACTTACAGAATACACTCACACTTGAGCCAAACGCATTCCCTTTCTTGTTTAATCTTAAGCCACAGGACTGCTTCCCAGCACTGATAGGATTGTCCATAAATGCAACTGCCTCTACAAACTTTAGATAGCTGGTTAATTGTGGGGGTTGGTTTTTGGTTAAGTAAGAGTGTGCTCCTATGTGAATTTCAACACCTAAGTAAGTTTTCCTGTGCATGGGTTTTAACTTGAGAGGAAAGAAATGTTTTGAGTTGATGATTGGTGCGCACAGTACAGTAGCAGCAAGAGGTGTTGTGCTCAATAATGCCAAATCTTACCTTTTTCCTCTTAACTGGCGTAGGTGGTGAAACACATTAATCACATCTCTTATTCTTCTAGGTGCTTCTTCGATTTTTGACGCAAGATTAATACAAGCCATGGCAACAATCTGAAAGAATCATGAATAAAAAACGTGGTTGGATTATGGCTCTATCTCGGGCAGTTAGGAAAAAGTGCCCCTCCCAAAAATCGAACGAACTTATTTTAAGGAAAAAACTTTATAGTTGTTTAGGACACAATTAGGACAACCTTTGGTGAAATAAAATGAAGATGCCATTTCCAGGCCATAAGCTTCCGGACCACGTTAATAAACGTGATTTATTTTAATTGCTTAATTCCTACTATATTCCGAGTCCAGAGTCAAGCCCAGTCCCCCAGCACTTTGGAATTCTGCTGGAAATTCTAATTATCGATTAGATCCGTTTCCTGGATTCTAGGACCTAGAACATATTCCAAAAGTCCTTCTTACTTCCTGGGGAATGAGAACTAGGTACAAAGTCTTAAAGGAACCCCTTTTTTTCTGGGAAAGCGAGCCGCTAACTCTGACTCCCCCCCTTCTTCTCCGCCCCCCCCCCCCGCACCCCCATTTCCGGACGGAGAAGTCCTTTTCCACTCGCCCCCGCCGTCCTTACCTCGAAACTGTGTTTGACGAAAGACTTGGAGTAGAAGAACCGATGGAACAGCACCTGCCCCGTCGCCATCGCCACCTGCAGACGAGAGGGAAGAGCGGAAGCGCAAGGGTCAGGCGGGCCCGCACCAGGCGCCGCCGCCATTTTGTGCCGCCGCCGCTCGCTCCCCGTCCCTCCCCACCGCGGGCACCGGGGGACCTCGCCTCCCGCCCACCGCCCGGCGCCGGCTGGGACCCGGGGAGAAAGGCCGGGGAGGGCCCTTCCCCGCCGCCGCCGGCATCTGGTGGGAAGGGGACACCCACCGAGGGGGTGGTACAGGGGGAGAGAAGGGAAGAGGCGCGCCCGGCGGCGCGGGCCCCAGCACTGACCTGCGGCAGCCGGAGGAGGATGCCGGCGGCTTGGATGAGCTCGCAGCCCAGGATGCGCAGGTCCGTCTCGCTGGACAGGTCGAGCCCATCCTGCATGGACGGCGTGGGCGACAGCCGCTCCTCCGGGATCAGCGAGTGGTCGATGGTGAGGGAAACTTCCGAGTAGAGGCGGTCCCCGATCAGGATCCCTCCGGACGTGGTCGTCGTCGTGGTCGTGGTGGTCCCCGAGCTGGAGCCGCCCGCGCTGGGGGCCGCGGCGGCCGACGAGGCGGCAGCGGCGGCGGCGGCGGCGGTCGCTGTCGGGTGAGGGCCGGACGCCATGGTCTCCGCGAGCTGCACGCACGCCCGACGCAGCCGGAACCCGGAGCGAAACTAACCAGCGTCCTCGGCGCGACGGACGTGCCCGTGACCGCCCGCGTTCCGAGCCGCTTTACGCAGCGTGCGCTTCCGCTCTGACGTCACCACGCCCGGCGGCGCCAGCCAACGAGTCCCTCCCGGCCCCCGTCCTTCCTCCCTCCACCTCGCCCCTCACCCCCAGCCGGCGGCGCCTCCTCCCGCGTGATCCCGGAGCTGCGGCCGCGGTGTGGGACCCTGGGGTGACCTGGGTGGCCTGTCTGCTGGGCTCCCCAAAGTGGTCAGGGTGGCCCCAACGTCTTTTCTAGCTAAAATAGATCCAAACTGCCTTGTCTGTAATGTAAGGTGTCCCGCTTTTGGCAGGACAGTCCGGATTTTTCACAATTTGTCCCGCGGCGTTTAAAAAAAAAAGAGTCAGGATTTTAATCTTTCCAAAAATCGAGACTTTTTTTTTTTTTAAACGCCGCGGGACAAATTGTGAAAAATCGGGATGTCTGGTCAGCTTACTGTAATGTTTTTAGCCACAATAACCATGTGGGAGCTGTACAAGTTTACCTTCTCCCCAAGTGAGACTTGGCAACAGTTACAGCCTCTGCGCGATGTTAGTAATGTGTGTGGGACCGGTGTCCCTTGGCTCCCTTCGCTCGCCCCTCGCCCCTCGCCATTTGCGGGGCGCAGTGTAGCAGGGGAACCCCAGGGGAGTTCTAGCCCAGATGTGTAGGGACAGACACGCTTGCAATTTAAAACGACCCGCAAGGAATCTGGGGAGGAGTGCTTTATAGTGTTTTGGGGAGTCAGGAATCAGAACTGCTTCGGCTCCCCAAAAAAGGTCGTGGAGGAGGAGTGGTAGGTAGCAGGGTGCAGGGGGTGGGGAAGGCTGGACAAGTGAGAGGGTGGCTGCTTTCCCGGCCTGGGTTGTGAAACTCAGACCCATAGCACAACAGCGCCCAGCCCTCCATAATCTGGAAAATCCCTTCTTTCCAAAAATAGCCTGGGGGAGAGAATCTCACTGGGGTAATCGGATTGTGCCCCGAGAGCCTGTGTCTTCCTAGGTGGTTAGTGCAATTAGACAGAGTGGGAGAAGTTATTCTCTCTCTCTCTTTTTTTTTTACTCTAATAATAGCTAGCAGTTCCCAAAAATTTCTTAAAATTTGAATTCACAACAATGATCCTGAGCCAAACTGCTACATCTAAAGTTGATCTTGGTTTACTTTGTCTTTTTATCCCCACTCTTGAACTTCTGAGAGGTTGTCCAGGGATGAGGTGCCCCTTTCGGTACATAGCTACCGTTCAGTACATAGCTACCATTCCCCCGAAAATAAGACAGTGTCTTATTTTGCTCCCAAAGATGCGCTTGGTCTTATTTTCAGGGGATGTCTTATTTTTCCATGAAGAAGAATACGGTACACATTTATTGTTAAATGAAAATAAAGGAAATTTATTACCTGTATACGGTACGGTAGTTGTCAACACAAACCAGACAAACTGTGAATCCTACAGTATCAAGAATTTACTCATCTATTCAATGACAATCATGTCATCATCTTCTGGAACATCATCATAAGAATCCAATTCCTGAATTTCCTGGTGAATTTCTTGTGACTCCATTTTTTTCAGAATCAGTGGACCAAATCTCTCATGTTTAGCCTAGGGGGGGTTTTATTTTCGGGGGGATGCCTTATATTTCACTCAGAAGGAAACCTGTAAGTAGGTTTTATTTTCAGAGGATGTCTTATTTTCGGGGAAACACGGTAGTCATTCTGAAAATGACATCTGTGTAATTCACTCTTGGCAATTACTGCTCAGAAAATCTCATGGCTGCACTTGCCTGGGCATTGTGCTGCTGGGTCTGCCGAGAACGGGTTCTAAGACTTTCAGCAACCAGTTTTCACTCCTTGAAGTTTCACTGGGCCCCTGGAGGGTCTAAAATTCTTTAGAATTCTGGTCATCCAGACATCTTGCACCTAAACTCATCTTTGGTTCCTAATTCTTCTTCATTCTATTTTGCTTATTAGTCCTGTTGTTCCTCCCTCTCAGGAGATTGTTCTTGAATCTGCCTGTTCGGTCTGTTCTGCTATGTCTGCTGTTACTTCGTGCCTGCACCACAACAACAGTTTTCTTTCTTTTTTTAAAAATATATTCTTATTGATTTCAGAAAGAAAGGAAGAGGGAGAGAGAGATAGAAACATCAATGATGAGAGAGAATCATGGATCTGCTGCCTCCTGCACGCCCCCCACAGGGGATTGAATCCAGAACCTGAGCCCCCCACAGGGGATTGAATCCAGGACCCTCTTGTCTGCAGGCTGATTCTCTGTCCACTGAGCCATACTGGCCAGGGCATACAACAGTTTTCTAAATGATCTTGCCGCCATTCTCTCCCATCCCTCCTTCATCCTGGGAAATTGGTAACGAGCAAAATATCAGTTTCTTTACCCCACTTCCTCAAATTAAAAACTCTGGAGATAAATGATAAAGCTTAGACACCTTTTGGAAATTGAGGCTTTCTATAATCTCAACTTACCTTGTCATTCCTTTCCTTATTGCATTATCACTTCACCTTATCTCCCTCCCCCTCTTGTCTCTGCCTGCACCAACATCAGCCAGACCTGTCTGACATGCCATTTGCTTCTGGATTTCACACTTTTCCCTCATTCTATTTCTCAGGCCTGCAACATTCTTCTCCTTCCATCAAATCCTACCATTTTGTAAAGATCCAGATGAAGTTCTACCTTTGCCAGAAACCTTCCCCACCAATCTAGCTTTCGTTAATTTTCTGTCTTTGGATTTCCTCAAAGTATTTATGACCTCTAGTATACATTTTTTTTTTTAAATATATTTTTACTGATTTTGTACAGAGAGGAAGGGAGAGAGACAGAGAGTTAGAAACATCGATGAGAGAGAGTCATTGATCAGCTGCCTCTTGCACATCCCCCACTGGGGATATGCCCACAACCAAGGTACATGCCCTTGACTGGGATCGAACCTGGGACCTTTCAGTCCCCAAGCCGACACTTTATCCATTGAGCCAAACCGGTCTCGGCTCTAGTATACATTTTGACACACGATTCCATACTATTATGCATTGTTGTTTGACCACTTCACAATGTGTGTCTTGACTTTTTTATTTTTTATTTTTTTTGACTTTTTTAAACAGTGCCATTTTGGGGTTTATTTTGTATTCTTACAGAACCTGGTAGAACAATATGGTAGATGTCTAATCAAAACTTTTGCACCATGTTATATGTTTTTCTCCTCATGCCTTGCTTGGCAGCCTGGTCTTGCCTTTTCCTTTCTGTTCAGGGGCCCCGTTTCACCCTCATCCTATCAGTACAGCCCTCTCTCCCTAATAGAGAGCTGCAGGTCCCAGCATTCTGTTCTCTTTGCAGCACTTGTAACAGAACAGCCATGGTTCCACTTCTGCTCAAATCCCTGTCCTCACTGGGCTGGGTAAATAGCCCACGTCCGTTCTATACCAGCATGGGCTGCAGAACAGGAGGCTGGAGTTGCTATAACTAGAGAGTTTGGGGGGAAAGGGAGTTCACCAGAAGCAATGCAGTGAAGTAGTTTGTGTCTGAATGTGGACATAGGCTCTGGGACAGTTTTTGGAGGTGTGTTCAGAAATCAGGCGTGTGTGACTAAGAGTTAAGGCAGGGCCAATTTAATAAGCTAAATTATAAAACTAACAAAACCCCAGGTTTGCTTTGGGAGCGAGCTCAAAGTTAATATCTATTCTCTTCTTTTTCATACAAGGACGCTAAAGTCCAAAGAGGAGACTGCAAATAGTAGAAACACAATACTTGCTGATGGCAAATGATCCAGCCAAGCCAGTCCTTGGATGGATTCATCCTATAATATTTAATGTCAGAACTAAATCAACGACTGACATGGACCAAGAAATTGAGAAGCTTTGCAATAGAGAACTACACAAAGTAAAAGGTAAAAATCCCATTCCTATCTATTTGTACCCCTGAGTCTTTCACCAAAATTATCTAAGTACCTTCCCCAAAGGTAATAGCATGATATCTCTCCTTCCAGATAGATACATTCCTCTATATAATATATACAAATTGTTAATTTCATATAAAAGGGAACACACTATATATATCCAACACAGTTCCAATATATATAATCCAATAAAGACAAATTGTCACTAAATAAAAATTTTAAATATATTGCAAATGCAGGCCTGAAATGCTTATTATTAGATCCACAGCCATAAAGTTACTGTGTCAGATTGTCATAATAATTTCTAGATATTTACTCTCACTGAGGACTCATAACAAAGTTGGGTGCCAGTCTGTGGACCACCCTTTAAGTGGTAGTACTCTTTAAATTAAAAAATAAATAAATAAATAAAATAAAAAAAATTAAAAAAGAAAGAAAGAAATATATATATATATATATTATTGATTTCAGAGAGGAAAAGGGAGGGAGAGACAGAAAAATCAAAGATGAGAAAGAATTATTAATCATCTGCCTCCTGCATGCCTCCCACTGGGGACTGGGCCCAAACCAGCATGTGACTTGACAAGGAATCAAACTTTGACCTCACTAGTCAGGCATCTCTTTGATTTTTTTTTTTTTTTTTTTTTTTTTTTAATAATGAGTGTGTGTGTGTGTGTGTGTGTGTGTGTGTAACTATAATTGCAATTAATTTTTTTTTAATTTCCCAATTCAGTCTGATAATAGAAATAGGTTCAAGGTACAGAAATGGATCTTCGGATTGGTTAATTTTGTAAATAACCAAACAATGTGGAAAAAAAAAAAAAAAAAAAAAAAAGGAGGTGGTATGTGATCTGGGTTTTAAAGACTGCATGGGCATCTGCCAGACGAATAACTGTGGAAGAGCATCTTAGGCCGAGGGGAAACAGGAGCCAGGGTGGGGAGGTATGAGGTTGCTAGGGATGTTGAGAAATGTAAAAGACATCTGTTGTTTTATCCCAGTATTCAATTGCCCTTCAGTTTT